AGTTATTACCTAACGAGATTTTAGTGTTTACAATAGGTAACTTACTCAATTCAGTCTTGTGAACAAATGTTATCTAACATTTAATACTTTTCCTTCCCGGCCCGAACCAATACAGATACCTCTGTAACTCTGATACTTTTAAATGCATATACAATTTGCAAATAAAATTTTATTTAAGTTTGATTTGATCTTTTATAAGGTCGAATTTCTTGAAGTTATTTTTATTTCTACACTACGTTTGAACTTTGAATACTGATTCTGATAACGCACTTAACAGGAACCACAGGGCTTTTGTTGCATGTTGTAGTGGGTTGTACATTATAATTAAAAATATAAAGTTATGGAGAATTTAAGTATAGGATATTTATTAGTGATTACCATACCATCATAGCATTACACATAGATTTAATGTTCTTTTGTTCGTATTTTATGCGGTGCCGTGCCGTTCATCAGATTGCGGTATAAACTTTGTCAACTTATTGCTTGCACTCGCGCGAAGGTTATAGGCATAGTTGAATTAACTAACGTGTGACTTACGTGGTGACGTATCATAACGACTACTACCGAAAGTTATAATAATAATATTTTTCAATTTTAATGCTCTGAGGGTTAATAATCGCTCACTAGATGGCTATTGTTAAAGGAGTTCATTTGCATAGTTATTTTGTTTCAACCAACAGATGGCGTCAGTTGTATTTTATAACGCGATATGGTTTAACTATTTTGAAGAAAAGTATATCCATGGCGCTGTTTAGCTTCTATGTTAAGGCGTTCAGCAATGGAACTATAAATATAACAATATAAATACCATTATTTATTTTTGTTATTCGTTTCGCACTCCTGTGTCGAACGAATTGATTAAGTTGACAGTACTGATGTGACATTGATTGAAAAGAAGCGATTATTAAAGAAATCGATTTTCTGCATTGTGATATTAATCGAATTAGGGAAAATCGATTTTTATTAAAAAACATTATTGTGTTCTAAAGAAAGTGCTTTCCTATATATTAATAAAACTACGAGAGTATAGTATCAAAAATTTATCACAATAAAATGATAAGTATAAAACTCAGAACGACAATCTTCTGGTTTTAAAACTACAGAACAATTTTTTTTAACCTATAACTTTAATCAATAAAAAACTAAAAATAATTACTGTCACAAATGTTTAGTGCCATTTAACAATTTATTAGAACCAAAATAAAAAGAAATGATAAATGAAACTAATTTTTACGGATTTTATCACGTTTTATTAAATTTTTTAATTGCCGACGTTTCGGGTGCTTTACAGCACGCATGGTCACAGGGGGGACTAAGGTGTTTGACGTTCCTGTCACAGTTGAACCACAAATCCTCGCAAAAGAACACCGATTTATACCAAGGATGATTCGCGATGCTATTGAAATTAAAAAACATCCCAATTTCAATAGAGAAGATGGATGGGTAATGCCATCTACTTGGGATCCTATAATTAATAAAATTAAATCCAAACCCAAGCATACCACTGCAAGACTTCAAGATACTATAAGCTCATTCTGCGTAGATCGGACCAAAAATTAATATTCAAAAACTGAAGGTAGCCGGGCTAACTATGACATCGGGACGTTAAACGTCAAACACCTCAGTCCCCCCCGTGATCATGGGTGCTGTGAAGCACCCGAAACGTCGGGAATTAAAAAGTTAAATTAAACGCGATAAAATCCGTAAAAATTAGTTTCATTTTATGTGTAGTCTTCGCTTAAATATAAGAAATCATTAAGAAACAATAAGCTTAGTAAACGATAGTTTTTCAAACTAAGTTTGAACAAACAAAAAGTCTAAATATCATTATGCCACTAATGTTCAGTATCATTTACATTGGAGTAGAATGAAAATAAAATAAAAATATAATTATAAACAATCAAACCACAACCTTTTGGTCTCAAAACTAAAATATAAGATAAATCTTTTTTAAACTTGTGTAAACAAAAAAAAAGTGAAATAAATGAAAAAGTAAGTGAAAAAATTTTCAGTTAAAGAGTTTAAAAACAATCATTTCACCAAAATTCTTCTTCGTCTCTATCCCAAAATACGTTTTCGTTTTTTGCTGACAATATTTCCCGCTTTCAAAAATAATCTTTCGGCTGGCGCGGAACTGGCCATTACAGGCAGGTGTTTAAGAGCCAATTCGGTTAGTTTAGGGAAAGTTCCTTCAGAGCTTCTCCATATATTGAGGGCATCTGCCTTGAGATTTGATAGTGGTGCCGCAATATATAGATCCAATTCAGTATTTTTGCCTATTGACGTGTTGGCCGCTATCATTTTTTCATTATAAAATACTTCCGTCAGTCACTTTTAGGCGTTTTACAAGACATTTTTATTGTTTATATATAATTGTTTACACTAACCTAAAAAACATACATTTACATAGTACATAGAATGCATAAAGGTGGCGCCGTCTTTTGATCGACTTGTTCATGTTAGTGAACTTACTTCGCGGTTTTTCATCTGTCGCACAGATATGACGCTGTTCTTTTGATAGACTTATTCATGTTATTGAACTTACTTCACGTTTTTACATCCATCGCACAGATGACTCTGTTTACAAAAATCGATTAAAACGCGTAATTTACATAATCGATTTTTTTTAAATCAATGTTTATTATAAAAGAATCGACTTTGAAAATAGATTATAAGAAAAAAATTATCGATTAATATGAAAATCGATTATTTTTTCACATCCCTGGTTGACAGTTGACATTGCTTATCCAAATCCGTCTACCTTTACACAAAAAGTATATAAGTAGACTTTACTTATAAACTCTACTTATATACTTTTTGTGTAATTCGTTTCGCACTCCTGTGTCGAATGAATTGATTATGTTGACAGTTGACATTGCTTATCCAAATCCGCGTTCATGTCTTGTTATTAAGACTTTGTATACAGATAGTTCAAGTTTCTATACTTATATACTTTTTGTGTAATTCGTTTCGCACTCCTGTGTCTAATGAATTGATTATGTTGACAGTTGACATTACTTATCCAAATCCGCATTCATGTCTTGTTATTAAGACTTTGTATACATAGAGTTCAAGTTTCTATACTTATATACTTTTTGTGTAATTCGTTGCGCACTCCTGTGTCGAATGAATTGATTATGTTGACAGTTGACATTGCTTAACCAAATCCGCATTCATGTCTTGTTATTAAGACTTTGTTTACAGAGAGTTCAAGTTTCTATACTTATATACTTTTTGTGTAATTCGTTTCGCACTCCTGTGTCGAATTAATTGATTATGTTGACAGTTGACATTACTTATCCAAATCCGCGTTCATGTCTTGTTATTAAGACTTTGTATACAGATAGTTCAAGTTTCTATACTTATATACTTTTTGTGTAATTCGTTTCGCACTCCTGTGTCGAATGAATTGATTATGTTGACAGTTGACATTACTTATCCAAATCCGCATTCATGTCTTGTTATTAAGACTTTGTATACATAGAGTTCAAGTTTCTATACTTATATACTTTTTGTGTAATTCGTTGCGCACTCCTGTGTCGAATGAATTGATTATGTTGACAGTTGACATTGCTTATCCAAATCCGCATTCATGTCTTGTTATTAAGACTTTGTATACAGAGAGTTCAAGTTTCTATACTTATATACTTTTTGTGTAATTCGTTTCGCACTCCTGTGTCGCATGAATTGATTTTTTTTTATAGGAGAGGGGGCAAACGAGCATGCGGCTCACCTGATGGTAAGTGACTACCGCCGCCCATGAACAACTGCAACACCAGGGGAATTGCAGATGCGTTGCCGGCCTTTTAAAAAGGAGTAGGCTCTTTTCTTGAAGGTCCCTAAGTCGTATCGGTCCGAGAAAATCACTGATTCCACAAGGAGGTCGTGCGAGGAAGAAAACATCTTCTAAATCGCACAGTGGTGGACCGCCAATCATCCAGATGGTGTGGATGGTATCGAGAGTTCTGCCGCGATGTGCGTTCATGAAATTTGGCGGCTGGGATTAATCCGAACATTACCTCAGAGCACTCCCCATGGTAGATGCGAAAGAAAATGAAAAGAGATGCAACATCTCTTCGCAGTGCCAATGAATCGAGCCGATCGGAAAGGGCTCGGTCGTCGACGATTCGAGCCGCTCTGCGCTGGATGCGGTCAAGTGGAAGGAGCTGGTACTGGGGAGCCCCTGCCCAGAGATGGGAACAGTATTCCATGTGAGGCCGAACCTGCGCCTTGTAAAGTTGCAGGCGGTGTGCCGGCATGAAATACTGTCCCGCTCTGCTGAGCACACCAAGCTTTTTAGAGGCCAATTTGGCCTTCTCTTCCAAGTGACCACGAAACTGCACGTCACTCGATATGTCGACTCCGAGGATACCGATACTGGCTGAGGCAAGAAGGGGAGTACCTTGAAACTGAGGAGATACGACAAAGGGGTTCTTTTTAGCGGTAAACGCGCAAACTTGTGTCTTCTGAGGACTAAACTGCACTAGATTTAGTCGCCACCAATCCGAGACTTAGATTATGTTGACAGTTGACATGCTTATCCAAATCCGCATTCATGTCTTGTTATTGTTAAGAGCTTGGGGTTCGAGACAATTAAAAACTGCCGATTGAATTACCACAATTGACACTTTAATTACACAACACTAATTACAATCTAAAATCACACTAATAATAAAACACAGTTCACCGTTATTTCGCTTCGAAGTATTCTCTTGTATCGCCAATTCAATACTGCTCCGGTCGTGGTCTATACCGGCCTTATATAAGGCCTCAGATAGTTTCCAGAACCTTCTACTGTTGCGACATCTAGAATGTTCGAGTACATATCGGTCCCGAAATTTCTGGAAGGATCTCGACTCTCCTAGTTCTGCTACTCGACACTAGAGGGCGCTAATGTAACTAGTGTTGCCATGTACAAGACATTAATAGTGGCGCGCAATACTTTCATTTACTCGACACTAGGGGGCGCTAGTGTAACTAGTGTTGCCATGTACAAGACATTAATAGTGGCGCGCAACACTGCCCCCTCCCAAGACATGCTCGTCCCGAGCATTATTGGCGCCATAATAACGCGCCACTCGATCCACATGGACAATCTTAGGAGTACCTCTGGCACCTTTCTGTATCCGGTAGGTTACATCATTGATCCTTGTCACAATCCGGTACGGTCCGTCCCATTTAGCTTGAAGCTTAGGAGATTTCCCTTTGCTGCGAACTGGATTGTGTAACCACACTAGTGAACCTTCATCAAACCCCTTGTTGTTCATTTTGCGGTCATACCGTGTTTTCATCTTCTCAGACGTTTGCTGGCCCGTCTGTCTGACGTGCTCATAAATGTCATTCATTTTGTTCCGCAAGTCATTTGCATAATCGGTTATACTGCGTGGGGCATCAGGTGGTATTCCGGTGATCAGGTCTGCAGGCAGCCGCAATTCTCTACCAAAGTTTGCAAAAGCTGACAACAAAAACGGTTGTATGTGCCTGTCCCAGTCTCGTTGCCGTTTTTCCACAACTTTTGCTAGGTACCTCTCCAATGTCTGATTAAATCTTTCTACCATTCTATCAGATTGTGGGTGGTAAGAAGTTTGTCGTGTTTTCTGAGTACCCATAACTCGGCAAGTTTCCTGGAATATTTGAGACTCAAAATTCCTTCCTTGATCGCTGTGAATCTCTAAAGGTACTCCAAAACGACAGAAGACTTCATGAACTAGTTTATCTGCAATTGTTGAAGCTTCTTGATTTGGAATGGCGAAGACTTCTGGCCACTTAGTAAAGTAATCCATCACAACCATGAAATACTTGTTACCACTTTCACTTTCCGGAAACGGCCCCGCAACGTCAATGGCTATCCTCTCCCATGGTGCACCAACATTGTACAATTTCAATGCGCCTCTACTACGAATTTGAGGTCCCTTTACAGCCGCGCAACTTTTACATTTGCGGCACCAGTCCTCGACATCGTCACGACAGTGGACCCAGTAAAACCCTTCTCGGATCTTCAGTAGAGTTCGTTTAACTCCCAGGTGGCCTCCTGAACAACCACTATGGTACAGCTGTAGAACATCCGGTACTTTAGCCTTAGGGACAACCATTTGCAAATGACAACTGTCTCCCCGACCATTTTCCCATTTACGGCACAGGACTCCATCCCGAATCAGCAAGCTGTCCCATTTGGCCCAATAGCTTTTCGTGGTCGAACTCATTGCTGAGACGTCGCTCCACTTGGGCTTAGGAGCACTGGCCTTCATCCATTCCAGAATCGGCTTAATTTCCAGATCTTACTGCTGTGCATGTTGTAGGCTGCCCTTCCACTCATTGCTGAGCTGGTCTGTCCTGAGCATTCTCACAGATACCAATTTCTTACCCTCTTGCCTAGTACAATGCTTGCAATCTTCAGGGCAAGGTCTTCTTGACAAAGAATCTGCATTGCCATGAGATTTCCCGCTGCGATGTTCGATCACAAAGTCGTATTCCTGCAGTAGTTCAATCCATCTCGCAACTTGTCCTTCCGGATTTTTGAACTGCAATAGCCATTTCAGTGCAGCATGGTCAGTTCGTAAGTGGAATTTCCGCCCTAGAAGATATTTGCTAAGATGCTGCAAGGACTTTACCACAGCAAGCAATTCCCGTCTTGTGACACAATAGTTCCTTTCCGGCTTTGACAACGACTTGCTGAAGTACGCTATCACAATCTCTTGATCACCATTCCGTTGAGACAATACACCGCTAAGTCCTATATCACTTGCGTCTGTGTCAACTATGAATTCCTTGCCCGCATCAGGGTACCCCAAAATAGGTGTTTTGCACAGACGGTTCTTGAGCTCCTGGAATGCAATATCGCAACTTTCATCCCAGCAGAAATGTCGGTTCTCCTCGGTTAGCTTGTGCAGAGGTTTGGCTATATCTGCAAAGTTCTTCACAAATCGCCGATAATAAGAGCACAAACCCAAAAATGCTCTAACCTGTGTCTTGTCTTTTGGGACCGGCCACTCCTTGACAGCAGCAATTTTCTCTGGATCCGTGTGGATAACTTCTTCTGACACTACATACCCCAAAAAACTAACTTGCCGTTTGAATAGTGAGCACTTCTTCGGACTCAACTTGAGGTTGGCACTCTGGATCTTCATGAGCACGCGTTCCAGGTTTTGAAGGTGTTCCTCAAACGTACGGCCTACGATTATAATGTCATCCAAATAGACCAGACAAGCATCTCCAATTAGCTCGGTAAATACAAGCTCCATCAACCTTTCAAACGTTGCTGGAGCATTGCACAATCCAAACGGCATGAATTTAAATTGCCACAGACCCTTTCCTGTGGAGAATGCAGTTTTCTCCTTGTCCTTAGGGTCAATTTCAACCTGCCAGTAGCCACTTTTCAGGTCCAGCGTACTAAACCACTTCACGCCTGTAAGCATGTTCAGCGTGTCATCAATTCTTGGCAAGGGATAGCTGTCCTTCTTCGTAACGTCGTTCAGACGGCGGTAGTCAACACAAAACCGAATGCTGCCGTCCTTCTTCTTTACCAGCACCACAGGTGAACACCATGGACTAGATGAAGGTTCAATAACACCATCCTTCACCATTCCCTCAATCATGGTTTCCACTTTCTTTTCGCGTGCTACAGGCAATCTTCTTGGCCGCTGACGAATAGGCAATTCTTGTCCTGTGTTTATTTTATGTTGAACTAAGCCAGTCTTTCCTATGTCAGCTTCGTTTGCCGAGAAAACATTGGCGTACTTGAGTAACAACTTCTTCGCCTTGACCATTTCATTCGGGGAGAGAACGCTGCGACAGTCTTCTAAAAGTGTGGTCACTCTCGTTTGTCCATCCTTGCTGGGGGTTCCAGTCGATAGATATTCGCACCGACGCAACCAATCCACTTCCTCACTAGTACCAACCAATGTGCCTTTTTCAATAATCTGTTCCTGATCACAAAGGTTCAACACACGTACTCCTGAGATGTCGGTGGTTCTGACCAAGGTTCGAGCCACTTTCCATGGAAGGTCATTGTCTACCCTTTCCACGAGTACACAACGATGAGGTTGCCCAGGACTCCGAGGAAGACTAACCGGCACAATCGTTTCCGATCTCGGCGGAAGAACAATCTTCTTAAGGCTGTACACATTCCCTGATAACGCCCCTTCCACGAAAAGTTCCTCTTGTCCACATTTCAAAACACCTTGCTTAACGTCGATCTCACAACAATTCTTCCTCATAAAGTCTAGGCCCAGTATGCAGTCGTCCATTATATCAGCCACGATGACATTATGCAGGTAGATCATGTTTCCTAGCTTCAACTCCATCTCCTTCTCTCCACGGACGGGTATGCGCTGACCGGTGGGTGTTACCAAATTAACACATTATTTTAAAAAAAAAGTCCCGCTGGGTTTCTTGCTGGTTCTTCCCAGGACAGAGGGTTTTTTTTCGAACCAGTGGTAAAGTAAAAAATGACTTTCAATAAGAATTACACATGTAATGTATATTGAATAAAAAATATTCTATTCTATTCTATTCTATTCTAATGCGTTCGCGGTTGTATGCGGAGTCCCCAAGAAACTGATTTATAAGTTGGGAACTGACAACCGTGCGAGAAGCTCCAGTGTCTATGGTCAGTTTACACGGCTTTCCGTTGACCTCATCCTTGATGATAAGGCTGTTTCCATCACGGGTTTGTGAGATCGAAATCCTTGGGGCTCTTTTAACATCAGCCAGCACCCGCCAGTTTCCTTGCTGCTGCTGGGCGTTGCTGTCAGCCACACTACCCTCTCGACATCGATCACCTTCCCTTTCTACAGTTCGTTTAGGGCAGCTGGATCGAAGATGGCCCCTTTCCCCACAGCCTTAGCACCTAGGGCTGTAGCCCTTATTGCGGTCCTGAACTGTAGCTGCTGCAACCTCCCTGACGCGGTGGGAACGATGATCCTGCCGCACGGCTTCCACCTCCAGTGCATGGGTCAAGGCGGCCTTAAGCGTCTCGTGGTGACCGAGCCTTACAGCAGCTCTGACTTCAAGGTCGCGGATGCTGTCGATGAATGTCTGCACCAGGTTCCCTACAATGAGCGCAGGAACAGACTGGTACGCTTTTCGAACCAGCTTCTCCACCTCAAGGGCCCACTGCTGCAGGTTTTCGTTACTGCGTTGCACGCGATCTTTGAGCTGTGCACGAAAGACGTGTTCCAGGTGAGCATCGCCATATCTCGCCTCCAATGCCTCAAGGAGCTGCTCGTAAGTTACTTCCTTACCGAGAGCTTCCAGAACAGTTAATGCCTGGTCGCGTAGGCCTAGGGTGAGAGCAGTCATGGCCTGACTTTTATTCCAGCCGTTCGCTTTCATGACAGCCTCGAACTGGATTTTGTAGGCCGACCAGGAAGAAGTCCCGTCGAACGGCGGCACTTTGAATCCACGTAGCGAAGGTGTTGTAGCTACCACGGGAACTGTAATTCCATCCCCAAGTTTGAGGTCGTCCAGCGTTTTCTTCACATCAGCCATCACGTTGTCAACCCGATTGTTCACTTGGTCGATTCGGGTTTCAGCTTCCGACAGGCGATTGTCATGTTGAGCAACCCTATCCTTCACCTCCTTTATCTCTTTCCCGAAGGTAGCGTGAAGGTTCTTCCTGAGGAGCATCTGTCCTTCCATACCGCGCTGCACCTGCTCTTCCAACCGACGGGTCTGTTCCTCCTGTCGGCGAGCCTGATCCTGCAGCAGCATCATCATCAGAGCACCTAAGTCAGGTGCTGCAGATGCAGGAGCTTCGTGGTTAGCAGCTGGCCCTCCGACGTTTGCGGCGTTGCATTACCAAATCGTCTCTGGTCCGTCTCCTGTTGGCGTTGACTTCGGGTACGGATACCCTCCGTGTCGTCTTTAGGTAAAATCGGCATATTTGATCCCACTTCTGACACCAATTGTTACGAGCTTGGGGTTCGAGACAATTAAAAACTGCCGATTGAATTACCAAAATTGACACTTTAATTACACAACACTAATTACAATCTAAAATCACACTAATAATAAAACACAGTTCACCGTTATTTCGCTTCGAAGTATTCTCTTGTATCGCCAATTCAATACTGCTCCTGTCGTGGTCTATACCGGCCTTATATAGGGCCTCAGATAGTTTCCAGAACCTTCTACTGTAGCGACATCTAGAATGTTCGAGTACATATCGGTCCCGAAATTTCTGGAAGGATCTCGACTCTCCTAGTTCTGCTACTCGACACTAGAGGACGCTAATATAACTAGTGTTGCCATGTACAAGACATTAATAGTGGCGCGCAATACTTTCATTTACTCGACACAGAGAGTTCAAGTTTCTATACTTATATACTTTTTGTGTAATTCGTTTCGCACTCTTGAGTCGAACGAATTGATTATGTTGACAGTTGACATTGCTTATCCAAATCACATACATTTATCCTCAATAAAGAATCAAAATGCAGATGCGATGTCACTCGTAAGGACTAAGATGTAATGCCTCATTTCTAGTAAAAAGTGTCTCCGGTTCTCTACACTAACCATACGAAACACAGCAGCATTAAGCTGCTATTTTACGTTGGTATTTAAATGCAGAAAGATGAGAAAATCAAAATGCAGATGCATTGTCAACCGTGAAGACTAAGATGGAATGCCCCGTTTAAAGTGAAAAGGGTCTCCGGTTCTCTACACTCACCATACGAAACACGGTACCCCTTTTTTCTAAATATCAATGATATGTTGCAAACCAGAGTAGTGTAGTTGTACCACTTCTAGACCACCTGAGTCAGACGTGGTTCAACGACGTTCGTCGACACACGATCCTAAAAAAAAAAAAAAAAAAAAAAGGTTTTGGCATGCTCTGATCACGAATCCGCGGTCCATTTTTGTGTAGAATGCACGGTTCCGGAGATGTGTAGATCAATTAGCTAATATCTAATTGATATCCGGTAAGGGCCTCCACCGTCATTAGCGTCCCATTGTTCCTATTTCTATTGTTCTATTGTTCATTAATCACCTTCATTGCAGCGTGTGCGTCGACTATATCAGTGCTATTGTATTATACTTCTTTGTTCCTAATTATACAACGCTAATCTGAATCATCAATAAAACACATTACATAATTTTGTTACAATTTTTATTTATAAAATACAAAATCTTATTACTTATTATCTATAAAATAGGAGCGAAACATCTCATCCACTAAAATATCGTTGTACAGTGTGTTCCTTGTAAATATACTCGTAAAACTATGTATTGAACATCCCTGAAACTT